AAATAATACTTCCTTGTTAGACCTATCTAACAAGGAAGTATTATTTGCTCAGACTTCTTCCTACACATAACCTAAAACTTATCCGGGTGAGTGTAGCGACATTCACTGAAACAAACAAATACATTTTATAACTTGAATAATAACTTAATACCCCTCTTAGCTCTTATAAAATCTTTGATAAGAACTGCTTCAATAAGTCGTCAGATAAAATGAACGATGTATCTATTCGTCAGGTGACATGAACAATGTTTCTACGTGAAGCACCTTTATTTTCACACGGTTAGAAAGAATAGCTAAAATCACAGTTAAAGTTTACTCAGACTTCTGCCTACCCATAATCTATCTAACAAGGAAGTATTATTTGCTCAGACTTCTTCCTTCACATAACCGACTTTGTGTGCGAGGACAAACCTTGTCTTATCCAGCCGAAACTCATTGAAGCTGTCAATCAAGGGAACTACGGGTATTGTTAACCTTCCCATTGGAGTACTTAGTCTAAGCTTGACGTGTATCTAACAGTAAGACAGGCTTGTTTTTTTTTCGTAAGCAACTAATACAAAACCATCCTTGTTACAGCTTTACAAGTAAGAACAACTAATAATTACTCTGAGCTTTTCACATTTAACAACAATAAATAAATTGTCATAAATTAAAATAAAAGTTCCTGCAACGTAATCAACAGAAAACAAATGAAACTATTTTGATTGTAATTTGTATTTTTTTGTTTTTCTTTTTTGCTAACAGATGGCGGGCTTCAAACTATTCTTTCTTTTGGGGACTAACTCTGGAAGAAGGAATCAGTTATCGTTTAGGGACACTTAAACCTCACGGCGAGGTAAGTAATATGGACTCTTTTCTCTGTCATGGAAAGTTCGAATTTTATTCCAACAGTTTCAATTTTCAGATAATCCATTAATCATTAAAGCATATATCTATATAACATCTGTTAATATGGCAGTGAAAGAATTCCAATGTAAATAAAAATAAGCTACATAACTTAACGCACCATAAAGCTTGAAATTCTCTAATTAATTGTGTTATTCAGCTAACTGTTAAAATCAGATACGAACATATTTAATGTTAAGTATGTTAAAAACATCTTAACTACGATTGGATATTTAAACAGACACATTATAATCATCTGTATATTTTAAATTATTCATTGCTCTTATAATTGAAACATTTATGTCATCCTAATTATCAAGTAACAAATGTTACATTAACTACAAAAACTTAAACTTAAGTGTGAAAATACGTTTTCCCTTCGTACAGTGAACTATTTGTAGCGCATGAATGGAAGTTGCACTAAACTGAACGACATAAGTTTTCATTTTAGTTCGATATAGCAGACAGTGTTTATTTGTTTATAACAGACAGTACAAATGAACGAGATCCATGCCAAGAACCATCGACCTCTTCAGGAAACCTTCGACTCTCGCCTTGAGTGGCCGGGCCTCATTCAAGAAATTAGTGACCAGGGAAACTGTAGCTCCTCGTGGGCCTTCTCAACAGCAGGTTGGGCTAGCTAGTTATGTGGAACATTTATTTAGTGTTAGTTAGGTCGGTGTATAGTTTTTAAAGGCTTGGCTTCTGTTTTAAAATAAATTCCAACTTAAAAACGAGTGTTTCCGAAACTAGCCGGTGTATATTATCTCAAAGTTTATCTTCTGCTTTAAAATATAGTATTTCAACTTAAGCGAGTGTTTCGGAAAATTTCCGAGTCAAATTGGTTGATAATATGCTTTATATATTATTATTTTTATTGTATCGTTTTAACGTCACAGACACATACGGAATTATGCCATTTTTACATCAAGGCTGACAGCAGTCAAAGTGAACTTGGACTTGTTGAATATTTCTTAACAAACAAAGCAAGTGTATTGGTAAATTGCTGCGAAATGGTTCATTCTTGTTCGGTTATCAGTCCACATTAAATCACTACTGTCTTATCCTACAGCTCTGTCATCTGATCGACGAGCAATCCAGTCGAAAGGCCGCGAAAGAATAACACTGTCTCCGCAACAGCTTATCTCTTGTAACAGCAGAGGACAGAAGGGTTGTCAAGGAGGACACGTTGACAGGGCATGGTGGTTCATGAGGAAGCAGGGGTGTGTTCATTTCGCAGAAAAATAACTTTCTATGTTCGTTACTGAACTCATTGTGATCTTATGTAGTTTTTTTAGTTACAATAATGTTATTGATTGACAATCATTTGACGAGGTACGTTAAATCTTCTCATGGGTAAAAATACTTTAATTATCCCCAAAGAACCCGGATATTATTTTACTTTCAAACAGGACATTTTTGTTTTTTATTTCTCCGTATTATAGGTGTCAACATTTTATAAAACATATCCTTTATAATATCTTTGTTTTTGTACTTGATAATATCTTTGTTTTTGTACTTGATAATATCTTTATTTTTGTACTTGTTGATAATATCTTTGTTTTTGTACT